GTCGTAGTCGTTCGTGACAGGTGGCGGCCTCGAGGCGATGATGGGAGCTTCTTTTGCGGCAGGTGGCGGGGTTAGCGACTGCGACGGGCGTGAAGGGCGATGCCGCTGTCGCGGCTGCAGCGGCGGCGGCGGCGGCGGCGGCGGCGGCGGCGGCGTTACGCTCGATACGCAGGGGCTGGACCTGGGGCTCGCCGGCTCGGCGGGAGGGGCGGTCGTGGCCGCCGTGCTGGCGGTGCCGACGCTGTCTCCTGACGGGGAAGCGTCGGCCCAGCTGCAGGAAGACGAGGAGGACGGCCGCATCATCAGCTGCCTGTGCTGGAGTTTTATCACCGTCAGGAGCTGCGCCCTTTCTCTGCGAAATCGATTCGGCGGGAGGGGGCGGGAGACGAGTCAGCGCGCTGGCTACGTTGAAAGGCGCGCGCGCGTGGAGGCGGAGGGAGGTTGGCGAGCCGCATGTATTTGCACGTTCCGTTCAGTTACGGCGGACCCCCAGAAAGACATCCCGGGCCATACCCACAAGCGGGGGGGGGCAAAAGCGCCTCGCCGCCGAGAACAACAATCACGCAGTACGTGATTGTGTGCGGCATACATTTGAACTTGCTTTGACAAAAAAGAAATACTTGCTCTGATTAGGGGACAGAGACAGTGTGTCGGTCGTCGTTTATTGTGTCACCTCTTCCATGCCTGCTCCTTCTGACCCAGATCCACCGCCGGGCGCGCCGTGTCTGAGGACCTTCGCGTCACGACGCGTCGGTAACGGCCGGCGCCCCCGTCATCGCTGTGCATAGAAATTCCTTCGGTCCAACCCGCGGCAGCGGCAGCGGCGGTCGCGGCGGCAGCTGTACCAGCCGCGGGACAAGCGGCAGTAGAAGCGCCGGCAGAGACCATAGTAACGCTCCCAGACGCGCGGCGGCCTCGGTTCTCCAGCACCCTTGAAGGCTTTTTCCGACCGCTCGACGTGTGAAGGGGCAACGAACCCTGCCGCTGCTGCTGCCTGCTTGCCCGCTGGCGTTCGGCGGCAACAACGGCCGTAGCCGCCCCCGGGGCGGCCTGTGCCTCTCCCGCTGTCGACACTGCACTAATATCCCTCGAACGTGCGGGTTCTTCGCCGTCGTTGCCGTCATCCCCGCCTCCGCAGCAGCAGCTGCTGCTGCTGCTGCTGCTACCGGCGCGACTCTTCGTCGGCGCTGACACCGCCCGCCGCAGGACAAGGGGAGGATCCGCCGTCGCCGCCGCCGCCGCCGCCGCCGCCGCTGCCGTTTTTTTCGTCGTCACCGTCGTCGCCGTCTCTTCTATCGCTCCAGACTCGCCTTTGTCGCTGGCGGCGGCGGCCTGTGGCGTAGTGCGCCGCCCGCGGGTAATGCTGGGGGCCCTCACTCGAGCGGTTGATTGCCGACTGACGTCATCACCGACCCTACGATTTGTTAGCCGGGGCGGTAGTGGGATGACAGGAAGGATACTCTTGTGTGTACGTAACACAGAATACATAGATAGGTTGTAGGTGTAACGTAGTTGTGATTTTCGTCATTTTTGTGTGTAGTGAGACGACGGGGTGGTACACTTTTTACTCAAATTCGACGTTTTCCTCTAGGAAAATAAGCGAATTTCGACAGGCGAAAATTGCGCCAAATGCAGATATTGCTGCAAACATGCGTACTCGTTCACCTCTTGTGAGGTGTGATTCTGCTATATTTATTTTTTTTCTCTTCACTTCAAATCAACCCTCACAACACTAGTGCCGTGGTCACACAGAAGAGCCCCTCTCTACCCTCCCCTCCTGCGGTACTTTGCCTTCGATTTTTGATTCGAGAAGAGTTCAGCACTCTCTTCCCTCTGTGTACACACGAACTAGCGCTATCCACTAGGCCAGAAGCGGAAGCGAGAGAAAAACTCACTTTGCAAGAAAAGCTCGCTTACGCCGGGATTCGAACCCCTGACCTGACCTCCAGAAGGTTTCGAGGATACCAAATAGACCACCGGGGCGACCGGCACTATGTCCGAGTCTTTCATGCGGAAGTTTCACCTGTGTTTCGAAGAAGAAGAGACACGCCTGGAAGAACTAAAGTTGGCAATCTTGAGCGCCCCCGTCTTCTCGACGGAACTCGACCCTGGGTGCTGCAATCGTAAAGACTAGACGCGCGCGGCAGGCGGGGCAAGAGCACGCGAAAAAGGCCATGCGTCTGTTTGCGGGAAGACATGCGGCGCGGTACGTACGCGAGAGATTAGCGCAGCTACACTTCATGGAATGTGCAGCAAGCAAGTTCAACGCGGATATCAGACTAATCTATGTACTCCTTATCTTCAACACCCGTGCGTGCGGCTCTCTACCCCCCGCCCCCCCCGCCGCCGCCGCCCCTACACGGTGTTTGAGACTAACTCTCTACTCGTCTCGGTTTGTCCTGATCTCTGCTCCTTTGCGTGCCTTCTCTCGCTCTCTCCGACGATCACTCGCCCCCCCAAAAGGTTGTCTTTTAACAACGCACCGCCAACACCTCCCCCGACTGGATACCGTATATTGCGCATAAGATACCATACCCCCTTGACCGATTTTTCACAGCTCGGTTACTCCACGACGAAATGGATGTCTCAAACGATGACATGTTTCCGGAAAGCTCTCGACGAGACGGTTCCAACGCCGCCATTTCCAGCACCTTGCCTGTTTTTCCTGAAGAGTAATCGAGCTTTGAAAATAGGAAATCGGTCCAGGGTTTGTGATATCATACGTCATGTCTCCTACGGCAACACCCAGCGGGGGGGACAGGCAGAAATGACCATCGATCTAAGGAACAGAAAAAAAAAACATTTTTAACCGCCCTCCGATCGATCGCCGCGCTCACCTCTTGCGATGGAACTCCCACGGCCGACGTACTACTTCGTCGTGCCGCCAGCATGCTGCTGTAGGAGGGGGCCGGGGTTGCGGTGGTGGTAGTATGGCGGCTGCTTGCTGCGTCCTGACGCTTCCGACGCTGCTGCTGCTGGTGCTGCTCTCGAGCCCCGCCACACCCATCCATCGACGAGAGGGCCTTGTTTTGCAGCATGCCGGTCGTCTTGCCGCTGCTGCTGCTCCTGCTGGAACGGCTTGTCGCCAACAAGCTGCGGCCGCGAGACGTTTTTCGAGACAAAGGATTACCGCGCACACATACATACATACATATCGTTGGCGTCGAGAAGATAACACGTTTGTGTACTGGGTGACCGCGATTTTATTTCTAGTGCTATTCGCTCGCTCCTAGAGGCACATACTGTAGTTATGTTGTTGTAGCGGACACTTCGGGCAGATACCGTTCGGAAGTACGCCTGTAGTCTATCTACGCGGTCTGCGTCAGCGCCAAGAAAACCGTGTTTGCTTGCGAGTAGATCCACACTTGCATCTACTACATGCCGCCAGAAATCCGGGTTGTTATTGCGGTGGTACCATTTTTTTACCGTCGCACAGGCAAACATGGCTACACAGCAGCACGTACATGTAGCTCGAAACGCCGGCTGATTTGACGCTGCCAAAAAATATGTATGTATGTAGGTGTCGCTTTTTTCGACCAGGCAGGGTGGACCCTGTTGTGTCGTTTCCCAAAATAAAGACCTCGAGAACTACACTACATACAGCAGTATATCTACATTGACTTCACAAAAGAAACAATGCACTTTGCACGATTGATCGCTGGCAGAACGCAGAGTGAGGCAGGAGCGTGCATGAAGGCCGTGAGAAATCTTTGTACGTGTGAACAGATCGGATCGTCCTCTTGGACAGACAACAGACGTTGGAAGAGAGTTGTACCTGAGACCTTCATTACCCCCCCGCGCGAGTCCTCTTGTAGTTACTTCTTACAGCAGCATAGGCATCGTGTACGCTGTCGCCTATCACACGCGCGGAAATAAATGATATGTGTTCTCGAACCTGCTGCTGGTACCGCTGGCGAGCAATTGCTGCGTGGTTGTCCCCTGGTTTTCCTCTGGATCCACCTGCCAGCGATCCGGCATGGAGCTGCGGTAGACGTCGCTGACGATGGCTCGGCCTTGCTCGTCGCTCTTAGTAGTTGGGCAAAAAAAGCGCGGGAACACATAAGCGGTCGCATTGTTACATTGTATAGCAGCGAGGAAAGGACTGGTCGTTAACGGATCCTGTTCGTTCATACAAATGTCTAAGACGCGAACGAATGGGAGAAGCCAAGTCGCTACACATAGTATTAGTCTCCACCCCCCTCCTAGACACAACAAGCAGATCAATCTTTCACAAGGATAGTTGAGGAGAGCAAAACGAAGATCAGATCGTGCAGCTGGCCCGACACATCAGAGCGACAAAAACGACCTCCATCAACAAAAAAAAACAAATGCTCGCCAGCGGTACTGCTGTCGATGGGAGTGTAGACTTACTTGTACAGCAGTACGGACGATCGAGTGCCGTGAATACAATCACCCCGCACTGTACACATAGTCTAAGTATGTTGTTGTAGCAATGTTGCAGACTCGTGGTGGCAAATGCCTCTACCAGCGCGCGTAGAGCAGAAAAACCGGTGGTGAATCCTCGAGGAACTTCTTTGTTCCCGACGCAAAGCAGGAGACAGAGCGGAGGACGTCGGATCCTGACACACACACACGAAGAAAAAGTCTTGCTCGCTACTGCTCGAGTCGTACCCTTTGGGAGATGAACTGTTTCCACGCCATTTGCCTCTCGTACAGCTCCGCAGACATACCGTTTGCCTGGGCTCCCTCCAGGGAAAACCGGTAAAAAGGGAAGGGGTGCTGCGTGTGTGAGTTCTGCCCTCTGCCCCCCTCTCTCTCTCCGCCTGTAGCGCGGAGCTCTTGTTGGAACAGACTGCTAGATGTTTGCTGTGATGGACGGACGTATCGGAGGTCATCCCCGAAGCTTCGAAGATGCGGCGTAATTACTGATCGGGCACGAATAGCCTGAAAAAAAAGGTAGCCAACTGCAACCTGGGAACCTGGAACCCGTGCGCCGGCCCGCCCGCCGCCTGCTGGGTGGACAGCAGCAGTGGGGCGGCGGTAGAGGCACTTGATGTGCGAGAATATCCACGTCTCCACATATTACAAGACGCTGCGTGCGCACGCAAGCGGGTGCGATGGGCACCCATTGTACATGTGTGCATCATCACCATCATCAGCAGCAGTTTCAACGCTTCAACCGCTGTGATTGTACGCTTGTACCCGGCCGTTATTACGTCGGAGAGGCGCCGCAAAGAGCACATTGTCAAGCGATTTGCTCCAGCAGCCGCTGGTCTGATCAACTTTGTGAGTGAAACAAGGTGGAGGGTGCACTTCTGGGGTGAAATCTTGAAATCTTGCACTTTCGAACGAACCGCGTAGAGTCCTGTTCGGGCAATCGTACAGCCATGTTGCATAGGACTCGACCATATGGGCTCGTTGACCTCCACGATGCCTCCCAGGTACATACCCATACACACTTTTTTGCCATGCGGCGGAGGTGATAGCGTGTCAACCAGAGCTGCTGTGTCTCGCGACCCGAAAGTGAGAAATGAGGTGGCCATCCTAGCTACCCTAGCATCATCAAGTCCGACCCCCGCACGAAGAGAGAGCGAGCGACAGCAGCTTTCGGAATCACCAGCAACAACACCACATGACAATGGGGGTATGGGGGTCAGCCCAAGTACCGGGGGCATGAACGCCAACCGCCGCACGCGCGTGAGATCGCCACACAACGACAACAACCTCAGAGTAGCGCGGTGGCAAACGACACCAATTCACGCACCATTCAAAATCCTTTGACAGCTTGAGGTCTGACAAGGGTAACCGGTTGCGACAGAAACAAAATACTGCCGCCGCCGTTCTCGGCAATCGAGCAACAAACGTGCAGAAAACTCCACAAGACATATTTTTTTTATGTTTTTAATAACCGTCCGGGCACCAGTCGCACCACGCGACACCAAGCGTGGCGCGCTTTCGGGCAAGCGAGCAACCGCCACAACGCAAGAGCAGCAGCAGCAGCAACAACCCGCTCGCTCGAACAAGCAAGCAAGGCTTTCGGAAATTCCCCCGAGAAACGCACGCGCGCTCCCGACGAAAAACCAAACCCTCTTCGGGACCTACGCGTAGTCCACTCATGTTGCGGCAGCGGCAGCGAGCAACCAACAGCAGCGAGAGTAGGGGCTACAGCTTAGACCTCTACGCCGCCACCAGCCTTGACGAAACGGGTCTTGGCCACCTGCTTGCGGGTAGGCTTCTTGGGCTCGTCGCCCTTCTTCACCTGTGCAACATCCATCCATCGAAAACGGCGAAACACGAGAGATGGATTACACGACGGACGACGCGACGAAACATTCAAGTATCTTGCAGGGAAAAAAATAGGAGCACAATTTATGGTACCTGGTGTACACGCTACGGGTCGACTCTCCGCGCGAAAATCGTTGCGACAATCCACTTCCTGCTGATTGAGAGCACATGCCGGCAGAATACACACGTGTCGCAAAACCAAAAAACGACACCAAAACTGACACAGCATGCAAAAAAGAGAATAGCTAGGAGCTGGATTGATCCCTGTGAGGGCGAGTGCGACTGTACCCTACCCTCCACAAGCAACTAAATACAAGAACAGGAACAATAGAAACCGCGTGTCGTCGGCGTATGCACACTAGCAGGCAAATTGTCACACACGGCGCCTCCCCGCTTCCTGATGGAAACATACACAAAACGCGAACACATGACCAGCCCATTCGCTTCTCGCTTACCTGAACCTCCTTCTCCGAGAGGATGAGCTCGATGTGTGCGGGGCTGGACATGTAGGCTGCGGTCAAAGTACGCGCAAGCGTCAAACAGGGAGAACAGAGGCGACGCGATATCAATAAAAAGCGTAATCGTAGGGGGGAGGGGGGCGAGGACTCTGCCGCATACACACGGAGTCCGCGAACCCGCGCGGGCGTTTCAACACCGAACCTCAAAAGTAGATCCATCTATGCGTGGAGTGAATAAGCACGACTAGCAGATCCACTCCGTACGTATCTCTAACGGCATCGAGCGCCGCAGCCACGCGTTCTTGTCCGATTTCGTCCAAGACAGCAACAACTGTAAGAGAGAGGCGGCCTTTACTAGCCTTCGCCTTCTTACTCCTTTGGGGTTCCTACCCTCCTGCCAAACGCGTAGAGAAGAGTCGCACATACGCCCACCGTTTACCACCAAACACCGCCTGTGCTGTCCATGCTTCCCACAACCGGCGTAATCGAAGAATAACTCTTGCTTTGAGGGCGAGGTCGTAGATGAGGCATGAAATTCAAGAAAAATACGACACATGAAAAAAAATACGTACTTCCATGAACAACACGGACAAGACACTCACGGTTGATGCGTCCGTGGGCCCTGTAGGTGCGGCGCCTCTGCTTCGGCGCGCGGTTGCATTGTACGTGTACGATGTACAGACTGTCCACGTCCAATGCCTTGCTCTATAAAGTATAGGGGCGGGGGGGGGGGGGACAAGAAGAGGGGAGAGTAGCATGAGGTCAGCTCTCTTCCGGCCTCAAAAACGTAACCGCATCCGGCACAAGCCCAAACAAATTTCTGTAAGAAGTACTTTCCATGCTCTCAACACAATCCTTATTGCATTTTTCCCATGCAACAGCAAAACAAATCATAAACAAAAGAAGCATGTTCTGTTCATTCACCTCGGCGTTAGACTCGGCGTTCTTGACGAGGTCGAGAACGATGCGGGTCGCCTTCTGAGGCCAGCGGCACTTGCTTCCGGGAGACACGAAGGTGTGCTTGTGCTTGTTTCCCGGCACCTGAAGTAACTCAGGCAAAAGCAAGATTGTGTCAGGTCAGCAAACTTCTTCTATCGCTTGTTGATGAGGCATGATCGAGGAAACACAAAGCGAGACACGGGAGGTGGGGCTAGGACCAAACGATTTTTAAGCACCGACAGAGTACACCAGTGACACATACTTCGAACGACTTCCTGATAAACGTTAGAATCTTCCGGTGCTTGCTCTTCATTAGACACCAGGAAGTACTGTCTGCTGTTCACGAACGCTTTCGACGAAAACCTACACCATGTGTAATTCCACGATGCCAAACATAACACCTTGCTGCCGCAACGATCGTCTACGGTCGGTTCCTCCGCAGAGAACATCCATACCTTAGCGTCTCTCGCGATCATGAAAACACAACGCCACGCGCTTTCGGCAACTATTGGCGTTTTGTTTCTTGCCAACACACCCCCCGCCTCGATCAAATCTCATCTGGGGTGTGCGTGTTAGACACTAGGCCTTCATAAACGTTGCAAAATGCTGGGTTCAATATGGGAACGTCAGACCAGTGTTTGCGAGGCAAGCTTCCACGGAATTAAAACACTGATCGACGAAGAAGAGGCACACGAAAAAACCTGGAGTCATGGACCGTAAAGCGAGATAGTTCATCAGGTTTCTCTCACGGTGACATCACATCAAGACAGGACCCCCACGATACTATAAGAAAGGCACCGCACCACTCTCGCTGGCAGCCCCCACCCCACCCCTACCCACGTCACCCCCCCGCTTCCCGGCGTGTTTCCTTCTCACCGTCTTGCTGGACGGGTCCCCCATGTAGTCCTTGGCGATAGGCAGCTTGCCCTGAGCGTGCCTGCCGACGCCGCCGGTGAACATGGTGAAGGGCACCGCGCGCTTGTACTCAAGTACGTCCTAAAGAAAACGAGGGCGAGCAAGAGCGACGGACGAAGACCGGTCAGCTGGCGGTGAACACGTAGCGTAGCAGCCAAAAACGTGTAACCGGAAGCAAGGTACTACGCGGTTGCAGCGGGCGGGGGGTGACGGGAAGCTGCAACTAGATGTGAGGAATTATCAACCAGGAACACGGGGCACCCCCTTTACAGTGTGTGTTTGGGTCAGGGGTGGAAACAGAAGGGCTCAACAAAAAACTAAATTTGTCTGGGAAAGAAGCCTGGAGTCAGTGCCCTTCTCCTGCAGGTTGATCTCTGGCGACGACCACAACGACGTTATGACGCCTAAAAAGTGGTAATGTAGAACAGCTGGAGCACCCGCCGGACAGCAGTTGTGCCAGGTTCAACACAAAAAAGGTCGGGTGTTGCAAATGCAACAACAGATGGGGAACACGCAGACAGTCAAGACAGATGAGGGTGCAGCAAGACATCCACGTTCGACTGCTTCAAGTGAATGGGGAACAGGCAGACAGACAGTGCAACAAACAGGACCACGCAGACAGATGAGGGTGCAAGGCATCCACGTTTCGGCTGCTGTGAGTTGAATCGACCGGCACACTTGCGCGATTCTCACCTGCAAGTACACCTTGGCCTTGGACAGCTTCATGCCCTTGATCAGGTGCGCCACCTCGCGCATGTGCTTGAAGTGGACCCGCAGGTTAGACCCGCGGGCCTTTGCGGCTGCAGACCGGCAGACGAGAGACACGCGCCGACAGACGAATCGAAAGAGAGAGAGAGAAAGAGGCACAGCATGAGGAGAAGACAGGGACAAGCTAGAAGTACATTGGAGGGACAAACATGAGCGTACGTGGTTGCGGGGTCCTCCAACGCAGCAAGCCCCTAGGCTCCGTTTTCTGTTGTACAAGAAGAAAAAAACTACATTGTTTTTTGGTGCTGTCCCTGAAGATAACGGTGTGCGACGAGGAATGCCCTTCTTTCTCTGTTTTTGGAGCAAGGAAAAGCCTCTTGGCGCGGTCACTATCTGCGACAGCAGAGAAGTGATTTGCTTGGAAGTTCGCGGATGGATCAACACGTTCCAGTTGTGGCTTCAAGCATCAACGGAACTCTCCTAGGTTGTTAAGGGGGCATGGAAAATACGAACACCGGAAAATCTCGTGCTTCGGTCCAACAAGCACAAGTTTTTTTTTGGGGGGGGAGGGCAGCGAGGGGGGACAATAATTCACGTTTCGCCAGTGAGCTACTTTCTGGTTCATCTGCACGTGGCGAACAAGAAACTGTGAAGGAAAGTTCGCTCGAGCTTGCGCATCAAACGACGCTTACAACTGCTCTGTACCACGCCCGTTAACTACTACTTCTGTCGAGTTTCGAGGCAGCTGCATGGAACGGACGACGTGGACGAAAACATGCAACGAGACAGATTGTATCCAGACGCCAAGAGATATGCACCCCGGCCCAGCGCGTGAGAAAGAGAGCACAGAGATGCCCCCCCTCCCTTCTCTCCAAGTCAATCCTTGAACCTGTTGTGCCATCGTAAGTCAAGCATACCACTAATCCTCTTCGTTGTCGCCAAACGGCCCCATCCCCCAAGGTCTACTTCTTGTAAGTCATGTAGACTCTCAACTTCCCACCTGCAAAGAGGGATCACAGCACAGATGTAACTGTTTAACTACAGGTAAATTCTCCAGGGATTCGCCGGTCCCACAAAAATGGTCGCTGGCTGCGAATGTGCTGATGACACACAGGGGTTCTCGGCCTCCCATACACACGCCCTTCTGGTGGCTTTGTCAACTTTCAACCACCGCCGCGCCACAGCCGAAACACAGAACAGGTACACTTAGGCATACCATATGTTTTGTGGTACGTTACGTACGTACAACAGAGGTTCGAACCAATATATAAATGGAGCATGTCCTGACCACGCCGTGCAGATATACGCCGTTACGCACGCCAAGACGCGAAAAACAACACAGCAGCAGGATACATACAGCTTGAACTTCCGCATTCATTTGGGACTCACACTTAGTGCCTTCGATCTCCTTGCTGCGCTCCGCCGAATCATTGCATCGCGAGCGAGTTGTCGCCACCGATTCCGCCGCGCAGGCCGCGTAAGGGGGGGGGAGAGAGAGAGAGAGAGAGAGAGAGAGAGAGAGCGTGTGAAGACGACGAAGATAGAGAGAAAGGGATGGAATTGAAAACCAGCTGTATGCCGGGGCCTCCTCGCCCCGGATGAGGTGAGGGAAGCACGGACAGCAGCAGAAGGAACGCGTGTGGTGTGGCGGCGAAAGGCGTTGCCGCCTTCACAACAACACCCTCCTTGTTTTCAGGGCTGCTGCGGCTAGCTGTGCTGCTAGAACAAGGGGTGTGTTTGATGGATCGTGCAACCACCCAGGCTTGGAATGCCATCGAGGAGCGTGAACAGGTAACGGCAGTTGTTGTGCTGGTGGTTGGCTTCGTGGTTGCCGCTCTCAAAGCCTAGCAGCGACACACACACAAACCCTCTCTTGGTGTGGGTAGGGCATTTCTAGCCCTTGCCTCTCTCCATCTTACCCTTCGCCACAACACATCGCATCGCCCCCATCACACCCTGCACTGCAAAGGGAGCAAGCTCTCAGAAAAAGGCAAGAGAGTGTACCGGTCACCTGTACTGAACCATGGTGGTGCCGCTCAAGTCCCACGACGGTGGCGTTGGACGGTGCTGCTGCTGCTGCACGCCCCTCGGCCACAAGAAAGGGGGTTCGCAACACAGAGACTTCATAATGTACATACACATTTTTCACGTGTGGCGATCACACGGAACCCCCACATAGGTTGTGCTGTGCTGCGCAGGTTCTTGCCAACTGAACTGCAAGGACGTGTTGAACCTGCCTCTTCTCTCTCCCCCAAGGTGAGCTAACCGGCGCGAACGGCTAGCCTAAGACCGAAAAAAGGGGTTGGCGTTGGTATCTTGTTGTGTGGGCGCCTCTCGTTCTGTGTTGCTTTACTTTTTGGTCCACCAAAGCGCGGCGTATTTGCAGTCAACGACACACAACCATCACCCACAGCAGCAAGTGTGAAGTGTTTGATGGTGGCCCCGGTGCTTACAGACCATCGCTGACGCTGTTCAGATCAAGAGAGAGCTTCGGCTGCTCTCTTTCACCCTCTTTGTCTAGTCGCATCGCTTGTCTTGGGCTATGTAGTTCCAAAACCTACCATATTTATCTACTACAGAGTACAGAGCGAGGTGGTTGCCTACGTAAGCAAGGGAGCACCCGGAGGATCTCTCTAAAGGCCACCCTCGCCTCTCTGCAACCACGATCCCGTCGCAGTCTTGTTAACCGGACTCAAACAAGCCATGGGAGGAGGAAACGCCCAGAAGTCGGCCACCGCCCGCGCGCGGAACGAGGCGAAGAAGGCCAAGGCCGGAAAGGGGTCTCAGCTTGCAGTCAACAAGGCCGCACAGAGCATCGTCTGCCAGGTGTGTCACACAATATTTTACACAAAATGTTACATCTCAGCCGTCATGTATCCACGCGCGCACCAAATGAGGCGCGTGTGGGTGTTTCCTCTGTTTTCATGGCAGATGAGATCCAGATGGCACGTCTGCCGTTTACGGGGAGAGCTTGCGATACGCAACTTAGAAAGTTTGGACGTTTGTTCGCCATAGGCGGGCTTTGCACGCATACCAGCAGCGCCGAAAATGTGAATCGTTTCTTTTCTCTTTGACGTTTCTGCCTGTTATTCGGCACCGCTGCAGTAGAGGCCTACCATGCGTTAGAACCCGCGGGAGATGTCATTGCCGACTGGCGGCAAGCAATAAAAGGAAGGACTCGCTACAAGAAGAACGAAACAGCCTGTAACTTTCGATCCCTTGCTGTTGCCCGCTCGGCTCTTGGAGGTTCGACGTTATTTCTTTCACGGCAGTGGGTGTCCCCGAATAACCGAATACAGGGGGTGGTGGGGTACAATAGCTGATAACGACCGCCTTTTAGGGTAACGGACTCTCGTTCAATGTTTAGGACAACATACTGTTTATGCCAGCCAATTTCACCGCCTTGTTTTAAAGGGCGACCGCCTTTGATTCATACCGCCTTATTCCGGAACCCCCATGGTACAGGCTTCTGCTTCAGACACGAGATACAGCCAGTAGTCTCTCTCGCCACTGTTTCATGGTAGGAGTCGGCTGTCTTGTCGTAGGTTTAGCGATCGGGTGTATCCGAAGGACGCCCCGTCACCGGAGGCAGTCAGAATCCTCTCAACAACTTGGCTCGAATATCTTCGCTCGCACCGCCCTTGATAACGTCCGTTTTTGACAATTTGTGAACTGCTGTTTTTCTCCCCGTGTGTGGTAAACGGGTGTTTGACTTGTGGTGTGTGGACGTTGGTCAATGGTGTGTCACATGTTATTAGGTAATCAGCCCCTCGTTGGGGATGGAGTCTTGACATGGATCAATTGCCAATGCTGGCAAGCCTTAAAGCTTTCTCCGCTCGGCGGCGTTCTGTAAGTGTCTCTTTGGACAGTTCAGCCGGCTCAGGGAGGCAGTCATTTCCGATCTCAATGCGTCTTGATGCACGTATTTTTGTCCTGAAGTTCGTTCCGTTCTACAGCAAGCAGCATCCAGCATCTCCTACCCAAAGCGCCACTTAAAATTCCCCGCGGCTGTCGTTTATATCGTAAGGCGTCCCCTAAGAAGCAACATTTACAGCAGCATTTCTCTTTCTCCCTCCTCTCCGTCTCTCTAAAATCAAACTACATGATTTCGACCCCTCCCTCCAGGTCTGCCGCCAGTCGTTCATGTCCGTGTCGAACGACGCCATGCTCGCAGACCACGTGACCGCCAAGCATAACAAGAAGAAGACCCCGGCCGAGTGCTTTCCGGGTCGGCTGAGCTGATCTACCTATCGTCGTGTTCTTATTTCCTCGCGTAATATCCCCCGGCGGGCGAGAACGCACGGGACAAGGAGTGCCACCTTTCTTCCAGGATGGGGGGGAAGAGTGCACCGTTCCGCACAAGGGCATGCGGGAAGAATATGGTTTGAGTTCACCACTCCGCACGAGGACATGGCTAGAGTTCACCACTCCGCACAAGGGCTTTGGTGGCTATTTTGGTGGCTTTGGTGTTAATTTCGGGGACAAGTTGTGCGGGGATGAAAAAAATGCTAAATATGTTCTCCGGCGGCATCCTTCTTTTTTTTTTTTTGTGTTTTGTAGAGGTGAGGCCCGTGGAGCAGACACACTGGCGGCTGAGCCTGACTTCGGAGCGCAGCGGTTGTGTGGGCAGGTGTTTTTGTTAGGGGGTGAGTGAGATGTTCGGACCGATTTCGCATATGTGCTCGCTGGTGTTGATATTTGCTGCGGATCCATGTGCGCGATATTGTACTAAAAAGGAGAGCTCCGTTTTGGAGGAAGAGTGGTTGGGGGGTTGAGCCTGGTGGTGACAAGTGCTGGCGGTGGAGTAAGCATGTGTAAAATTGGATTGAAGAGGAAACGGCCCTGAAAAAGCGTGGAGAGTCTCCGGACTGGTTGCTTCCATTTCCGGGATACCTTTTTTCATTGCCGCGTGCTGGAGGAGTTGTAGTTCGTGCCGCACCGGCCGTGGCCGCTTGTCCTTGGCGGGAAAGGCCAACACCCCTCGCAAGCATCGCTGCGATGCCACCCTCACCCCTCTCCCCCGGGGCGGACGCGTATATTGTAGGGCTTCCTAAATAGATGCTACATTGAAAGCTTTTGATAGGTGACGAGTTTGAGCGATAGGCCCAGCGCGAGGCTGTGTCTGCAGGACCTGCCTAAAACGGAGTATTTTCTTTGGATTCGGGCACGTTCCGCCGACATCGCCGTCCGCTCTCCTCCATTGGCCCGTGTAGCTTGGGTGTGGTGACTCCTTTTGACGGCTCCTCCTTGTTAATATTTATTGCAGAAGCATGACGGCAGCACCTGGGCCAGGTCAGAGCGCAAAACTGGCCACTGGAGAGCAAGTTTGAAGGGCCTTTCCCACTGCAAAATGCGAACACAGGGATGTTTCCTTGCAAGGAGAAGGTGAAACCAAACGAAGCTCTGTGCTAGTTGAATCGGTTTCTAGTGTGGGGTATAATGGTGGGAGCGCCAAGCGCCACTGCTCTTGGTTGTACCCGAACCGGTCGATCGTTTCCGACGACCGCCAGCTGTTGTTTTTTCCCGAAGCCTATGCTGCAACGAACGGCATAAATGACTGCGCGTGTTTTTGGTATTTGTTGTGTTGGGACTTCTCAGCCAGCAAATTCCCAAGCTCGGTAGAGTTTGGGTCGCTACTGTCGGCCATTACTCTTTTTTTTCTGTCTGTCTGTCTGTCTGTCTGTCTGTCTGTCTGTGTGTCTGCCATCTTTATTCGCACAGCACTCCCCTCGACCGATAGGGTCTCAAAGCCCACCTCAGCCCACACTGCGAATCTCGGAGAACTACCAGCAGCAGTTCTGTGTAGCTGAGACGATTTCAAGACCTTTCACCGCTGTTGTTTGGGCAGCTCGCTTGCTGTGGGGCGAGAACCACTTTCTCCGTTGACAACATGGATCTGCGTTGAAATGAGATCAACCAGGTTAACTTGTCTTCGAGGGTCTTCTGTCTTTTCGCTCGTCGCGACGCGCCAAGCCTGCTTGCTGTCCACGCTTATCTCGGGAATTCGCACAACTGCAGACACATTCCGTTTAGCCGACATGGCTTTGACTATATGTCTTACATGGCCTGGCTACATGTCCTTGTTGTTTGGGCGCCAGCGTTTGCTTTCCAGGAGCAAGGATCGGACGTTTCACAGCACCGACGAGCGGGTTGTTTTCGTTATTTTTTGCAAATCACCCTCGGCAAAAGGACTGACCCGGCGCACCAAGTATCGGCGCGCCGCCAACGTTTCATTTACACCCGGGAGACACTCTGAAACCACAAGCACGAAACACAGCAGCCGCCCTTAGGCATACGTCGTCGCCACGGGCGCGCGCCATAATGATGGTGCCACCGGCACGATTTCTCCGCCAACAATCAGCGCAAAACACGTTGTGTCGAACTACAGCATCTACATGGTTACAGCAGTAACTACGCCCGACGTGTGACGGAATCGAGGCCATGTACTTATTGAGAAACGCGGGGCAACAAGTTAATTCACGAGAAGTAATCATCGTCGCCACCGCTTTCAACGCTCTCCTGCTCGAACGATATGTCCTCGCCGACGCTGCTGACCTCCCCGTCTATCTCTGCCTCGGAGACCCCCTCGTCCGATCCCCCAAAGTAGCCTCCAACTTCACGACCTCCAATGGGCGCGGCAGGTGTTACCTTTGTTGCTGTACCCCCGCCTATCTTGCCACCGAGGCCTTCCAGCAAGGCCCGCCCAGCGTCCTCCTCTTCCTGCCCCTGGTGTTGCTTCGGGCTACCGGGAGGTGACAACGAGCTGTTGTCGCCGCTGCAGCCACCGCCGCCGCCGCTGCCGTCGTCATCGCCTCCGAGCCCCAGTCGGGCTCTAAGGGTGGCCTCGTTGTCCTTGGTCTCCCCCTGCTCTTTGACGCCTCCGGCGGTCGAGAATCGACCAGAGCCACCATTCTCGCCATCCCTGTCGTCATCTCCTTTGCCCGCGGGAGCGTGAGTTGGGGAACCCACGCTGGATGCCAAGCCCTCCTTCGTGGCGGAGGAAATCGCCGCCGCCGATACGGATTGGTATTTTCCAGATGACGGTGGCGACGGGGGAGTGCTTGTCTTACTCGACAAACCTCCGGCCTCCATTGTCCCCCCAGTGGCACTCTCACCGTCGCCACCTTCCCCTGGCTTTGTCTCAACATCCTCGCGCTCTTGTCCCGGTGCGTTCCTCGCCTTTAGCCCTCCCGGTAGCGCCAGGGAGGGAAGACCCCTTCCCCCAACCGGGGGCAAGGCTCCGAGGAGACCGAGCCTCTGCCGGGCACCGCCCATCGGTGGCGGCGGCAGCCCCGCCAGGGAAGACAGCGGCGCCAAGCCGCGAGGCGACGCGAGAGGCGAGGACAGAGACGACAAGGAGCCCCTTTCGTTCGACGCTGACGGGAGTGGGAGGGACGGCGGTGGAGGCGCTCCCGGGGGCTTGGCGGCGCCCATCTCCCCGGGTTCCCGTTCGGTGGTCTTGGAGGCAGAGACTACGTCGTCCTCGCTGCTGGAGTTTTGGTCCTCGTGCCGACGTTCCTCAACGATGAGGTGCTCGTTCTCCGAGTACCCTGGCGTTGTAGTCCTACCGGCAGAAGCATCCGTTTGTCTCTTGAACAGAGAGTTGATGGCGCTGCGGGTGTCCTGGCCGGGGGGGGTATCGTCCACGGAGTCATCGCCATCGTCGAAATCTTCGGCCACGTTCTTTGCGTTAGTGGAGACCACGGCATCACCACTAGCGTCGCCCGTTTCTATCCTTTCCGGTGCGGTCTCAATGTCTCGGACGGATGCAACTGCGGCGACGGCCGGATCAGCAGTGTCTCCGGTGTCGTCCGCTCGCTCGTTGTCCTCCGAGTTGCTCTTCGTCCGGTTGATGAGTCTGTTCCCGCTCTCCTCCCCGTCGCGGACATACACTCGATTGCTGTCGCCTGCTCCTTCTTCGAATTCCTCGATTTCGATACCGTCCACAAGCTCCTCTTCTATCTCGGGAATATCCTCCTCTTTCTCCTCGACCTCGTTTTGTTCGCTGCCGCTCCCCACCGGACCGAGCTCTACCAGCAAGCTTTTTTGTTCGGTTTTGTCTTCGAGGGATGTCGAGGCGGCGGCGGCGGTGGCAACGTGAGCGTCGTCGTTCGTGTGCGGGGATGAACGGCCCTCAATGTTATCCTCGCTAACTCGGTGTTGGCCTGCACGTTCGTGGTCGGCGTAATCGTTGATGACGTCATCTCCTTCCTCCGGATCTTCACGTGGTTCAACGAGCTTGGTGTCGGTCTCACCGGCGATTTTTTTTTCTTCTTCTTTCGAAGCCTCAACCCGAGAGACGACTTGAACATCGACCCCTCTCTCGCCGTTGTCTTTGTTCAGCTCTCGTTCCACTCTCCTTTGTTCATCGTGACCGCATCGCGGAGACAAACTGTCCTCGTCCCGCTTCTCCTCGTCTTCGCGAACTCGACCGGTCTTTGCCTCCTCGACCGAAGAACCGGTAGCCGCAGCGGCGGCGGCGGCGGCAGTGCTCCTGACCATCGCCGCTGATACCTGCTTGTCCCCTCCACCAATTTCGCCGCTTGGTTGTTGCTGCTTTGCCGTAGCGACATCACAATCGTGTTTTCCTTCTTCGCTCCTTATTCCGTGAAAACCGTCCCCTTGCGCACTTAGGGGCGCAAAGCTCGTTATGATCCCATCGTCTTCCGAACGGTCGCGAGTTACACGCGGCACTTCCGGGGTGGGGGCTGGGGTCGGCCCGGTTGACAGGCGGCCGGAGTTGTCTGAGTCGTAGTCCTCGGATTTTGGCAAAAGCAAAGGCTGCATGGGATGCCCGTGCTTTTGGGGTGTCGTTGACGAGGGCTGGTGTTGGGATTCGTTGACGACCATCTGTTCAGGTGTGATGGGGTATTCTCCAGGCAGGTGGGCCCGACCCTCAGAGAGCAGGCGCCATACCAAACGCTCCAACTGAATGCGAGAAGAGACGGCCCCCGTGCGCGGGGGGGTGGGTGGGGGTTGGTTCAGGCCATCATCGTTTTCATGGTTGAAGAAATATGCTCTCGATAACGCAAGAATGCGTGCGGGCTTACTGTAGCACGTACTAATTGTAACGCTGATCCTCGTGCGAGAGTAACAACAGCAGTGGCTCGTTTTCTCTCCCTTGATTTTTTGGGCATGTGTGCTTAATTACGTAAACGTTTGCGGTTAAAATCTGTGGCCACACGCTCAGCATCGACATCAGCAAAAAAGTACAGTCCACAATAAAACACGCACCCTGGCGATATAACACTACGAACGCATATCCCCGCACCCCCTCTCACGAAAAAATGAAGAGGGGAATGTTCGTCGGTTTCTGTCCACGCCAAACTCGACTTTATGAGTGTTTGCAGAACAACGAGTTTGTGAACTGCATGCTGTGAGTGGTGGCATAGACTATCTAAGGCATACCTGGTTTACCGACACCATGTCCGGGCCAAGGTGGCAAGGGTGTTTCTTCTGAAGGGCATCCACTACGCCTGACACATCAAATGTCTTCGGCGATAGCTGCTCGATTTGCACCTCCACAATTGCGATGCCTGGGAAAGGTGCGAAAAGAGCAGGTAGGTACAGTGTGACGCGTTTATGCCCCCGGTACCATGCCCTTCTAAAGAGAATCAGTGCCAAGAGAGCGCCCTTGGTCGGACTTTCTCTACGCGGTAATCATACCCGCGGTCGTAATGAGCACAGCAGGAGCTGTGTGGAAGGTGAACGTCTACATTTCGCATGTAGACTGGAATTCGAACAAGGTTGCCACAACTATGATACTGTACGCGAGATATCCAGTGTAATGCATGCCGTGCTCTCCGGTGCGTGAGTAAGTATGCTACATATCCAAAATCCATCCGGTATATCCATCGAAGCTCGCATCATGTATTTTTGGATCGCGACATTCTGAGATGAAACCTTCTCTCTCACCGGCATCAGGCTTTTGATACTCAAGGGCAATCGCTGGCTTCGGGGAGTACTTGAGGCCGAAGCGCTTGGGCACGATCTGCCCGCTCATGTTTGCTCTAGATCTCACACCGCAGTGCGTGTGGGCTGTGGTGTGTGCGCAGTGCTTTTGGTCTGGTGGCAAAGACCGGCGGAGATACCAACAGCAGTATATATATGTAGGGGTGTCGTACAAAAATGCGGTGGAATCGACGCCGATTCGGTGATGATGGATCTCGGACGTAGTGTAGTCTAGACTTCCGACTTCTTCGCAGACGGATGACGGATGACTTTTCCGCAAGAGAGTTCGCGCGCTGAGCAAAACAGGGGTTGGCTTTCATTTCAAACGGGTTTCATACCACGTCCAAGTCACACCCGGACCAAGGCTTGGGGCCTTCTGCCTCAACTGAGCCACAGCACGCCACTTGTACACAGAGCGAAAAATGAATGGACGGAACGGGTGCAGTTTGTCAATCAAGGAAGAATAAGATAAATCCGGCGAGAGGACACCGCTCCGAAACAACAAAGGCACTGCCATTGTTGTAGCACAGCTCGTGGGCATTGAAACGCCGAGCCCTGTTGCAGCAGTTTGTGGGTGCGCGAGATGGGGGATGAATTATAGACAAAGGAGGGTTGTTGTGGATGCGGGGTGCGATGTTGTGATGCATAGACAGTGAGATGTCTGCCCGCATGCGAGAGATCTTTATGAGGCAGTGAACAGAGTCCGACGGCGAGACTGAGTGAAGAGAACATTATTTTCGTCAGCAACAGTTCTATTTAATGATCCGGCTCCCATACAACGGTACTCCCACCCCAAGCACGTTTGACAAGATGTGCACCCCACGCCCATCTTCACACCCCACAGCCCGTCCATTCCCACATTCGACCCGATCTCTTAACCTTCAACGCTGATCTCCCTCCGTCGCCCTTGGGCAAGCCGCCATATCTTCTTGCTCGAGTTTGCTCCAACGCCATCATCATGCCGCAGCAACGCTCCTGGGCCGTTGCGGCAGGAGTCATGGCAGGCGGCTTGGCTGCCTTGTTCATCACTCCAGCGGTAGACGCTCATATCTACATCGTCGAAAGCCGGCAGTAAGTATATTTACCGTACGTACAGCAGAGTTGTCACGAGACCCCTCCCTGCGTAATGCGTCGATCCTTCGTGCTACGCGCCGCCTCCGCATCCATGTGTCCATAACGGTGTTACACATCCGGGAGAATATATTCTCCAACGTCGTTCCGTAGTTCTCTTCAAATTAAAGCTCCGCTCACGCGCCCCAAACCCGCCGCGCGCTGTTCTGTCTTGTCGCGTGCTCTGGCCCTCCGTTCCAGATACTACATGTCTGCGGTCTACCAAGAAGAGTGAGTGGCTTTGTTGTTTGACGTCGTTGACTCGCGTTTCTTTGGCATACAACCCCCCTCTATTTTCCTACTTCAGTACCACCTTATATTGATTAGGCTACTTGTAGTGTAAGCCCAACGGTCTACCCTAGGACGCCCATACAACGCGCTTTGTTTTCAACGTCAGACACCGATTCGGTACATACTGCTGTGCGACCTCTATTTAGAGAGTGGCAATGCGAGCTTTCTTGTCAAACCGGAAACGTTTCGTACTCAGCAAGACTGACTGATTCGAGTATGGCGCTTTGAGTCAGCCAATATAGGCTACTCCGTATATATGCGTCGTGTCCCTCATGTACTACTGTAGATGCGCAACGTAAAAATATCCCAACCAAAAAGAGATGAAGTAAATGTGCACCAATACCAACGGTGTTATGCGTGAGTCCATCGTCTAGGGCGAAGAACGCCTTTTGAAATAGGTTCAATGAACACGCTGGGACAATCTTCGTCCTGACCGCGAAAGCAACATCTCTGGGAAACTCCCTAACTGCTCCCCCATCCAGTCTAACTCAACTGAATCCCCTGACTATGAATGGATTAGCGGGGTTTGGCGGCGAAACTCCGGCTCAAACCCCAGTCGCCTGCACAAATGGGGCAGCGTTTGAAGAGTCGTCAGCAAAGTGTTGATTTTCACGTGGCGCAGGCCTCCGGCGTGTTTCCTGCCATTACGTGTGTGTGTGCACATGCTGGGGCTGTTCCTCCCTGCCAAGGGGGCGAGTCATGTTTGTTTTCGTTTTCCGAAGTTTAAACGGTTGTTTTCACAGCTAGCTGCCACTGTACACGCGTATTCAAAGTGAACGGACCATGTATGTGTTCTTATTCCTAAACAGATGGGGTATATGGTGGCTGTCAAGGCTGGCAGCAGTTGGCGCTAGAGCCTGTCACAAGAGCAGGGCGACGGTGAACAATACCTTTTAGTTTCAACCCCCCGATGCATGTATCGATGCACACGTTGTAACGCTATGTAGCCGTTCAATTCTAACAACACGAACTATTGAACAACTATTGAACAATCACGTCGTTTCCCTCAATTGTACCCCCCGATATCCCGCCTCTACCACTCGAAGCAGGACGTGGCCCGGCCAACACATACAACGCCGTTTATACCGATGTTGCTGTCCAAGTATTCAGACCACATTCTTACCTCATCGCACCCCCCCCCTTCCTTCGTTATAAACCACACCGTCGTGTATTGTTCCCTGCACGTGGGCGGCGTCCTCCGTCACGAACCACGAACAGCAACTTCCCTCTGCTCGAGAAAAATGCCGGGGCCTACAACGCGGGAGGGCAAGTGGAAGTCCAGGACCGCGCCCGCAGGCTCACCGACCCTGCCATCCTCGCCGAGTACGGCGACGGATGGTACCCTCTCCGCTGGGTGTACGATAAAGGTGGCGCGGCGTGTGGCCTGACTTGGTTGCCTTTTTATGATGCCGACGTTGTTGTTGCAAACGCGCGTACACGCGTGCATTCTCTCACTTTGTTTGGTGGTCGTTTTGGTTTGGTGTTCACGATCACCCTCTTCTGCCAGCATAAGGTAGCCGTCATCTACCACCGCAGTATCAACACTTGATGGATGGCGGGGCATGCTACCAACCGGGGGCAACGATTCGTATGTAAGAATGTATAAATACGGCGGCAACGCCCCCCCCCCTGCTCGTTCGTCCTTGTCTTTGCGTCTCTCTAGCACCACAAGTATTTTTTTTGGGTTGCCGTGGATGACGAGTTTAAAATGGCTTGGATTCGAGACATTCTTCGACGTCTCGCTACCCCCGTGCAGGCGGTGCTATGTTGTACGCCGTTGTCCGAGATGAAACAAATGCATAATAGTTGGACCCTCAAGTGCAAAGTGTGATTCGACCGGAGAACTTCAATGGTGTGGTGCGTGAATGTGCCCCCCCCCCCCCTCACTCCTGCACGTACCCCCCATACTCATTTCTTCACCCAGGTGAGATGGCTCCCAACGGAAACTACATCGAGCCTCAGGGAATCTCCGTCCGGCACGGGGTGTGCGGCGACCCGAAATCGGTACGTTTCTCACGACCGCCTACTTCAACCTAAACGCACTCTCACGACCACCTACTTCAACCTAAACGCACGTCGTTGTGACCCACTGTCTGTTCTCACTGCTGTAGTTTGTGCTCTTCCCTGGTTGTCAGCACAAATTTCAGTACCAAGTTTCGTGCTTCCAAGCGTTTGGGGTCTTCACGCTATAGTGACCCACGAGTTCGCTAATTCATGCTCTACCTGTACCACTGCTGTACGAGGTACATAATTCGAACAGGCAACCTCGTAGAAGCACACGTGTGTTAAGTTTTGACGTTTCGTTGGAGAGCTGTTGAACAGCTCTTCTTGTGCCAGTCCAATCATCAGCGGTCGTGGTGCCCCCATCGGCCAAGGCAGGGACGCGTATGCAGAAGAAAAACTACCAGCAACACCGCTGTACTGCTGCTATGCTGCTGATGTGTTGTATTATGGACTTGTTATCTTCCGCGTTGATTCTACCGATGGCGAACGATGCAAAGTTATTGGCTGAAACCGTCGGGGAGAAAGTCCCAAGGAGTCCAACCCGGTTTTGATGTTTTTTCCGGCGTCACCTTCTTTTGTGTACCCCCCCCGCCCTCTCAAAAAGACCCCTTCAAGGCCTGTACACTGCCGATCAAGGACACCCAGCTGAAATTTCTGTCCTCGGTTTGCCCCCCGCCTTTCTTTCCTCCCGCATATGTACTCCTCGTGGTCGCGCTTGCTGCTGCCTCGTTTTGTCAGGGTGATCAGGGTGGACAGGACGGCGAGAACACTTACAGCACGCCCAACAAGGACTGGCCGGTCCTCCAAGAGTTCAAGCAGGGCCAGTCTATGGAGATCAAGGCCGTCATGAAGGCGTGGCACTATGTGCGTATGTACTTCCTGTGCTGTTCCACATGATATATTGTGGAAGAAGGGGAACGAACCACAAACTGTGTTGTTTCACATGCGATATATTATGCGGAAGAGGGGGAAACTTGAGAAAAATACACACCTGTACGTGAATCGTCGTGTCGTGAAAGACACCTCCTGCCAACCGATCGTGACGAAAGGGCGAGGGAGGAAACCGCCGACCACATTGTAGCTTAAAACTGCACCTATACACGGCAGTTTGGGTCTCTTTGCAACAGTGTTCATCATAACCGTACGGGGCAGTTTTGTAATAAAACGGCATTATACCCTTGAGTTCGTTTTTGGTCGTGTCGACCGTTTAAGATGGACTAGAGCCGAAACACCCGACGGTTTTCGAACCACAACAAACAAAGGAACGAATCCCCCCCCCCCGAATGCGAAGACCGTGTTCATGTAGTCGTGGAATGTCCGTGGTACGAAGAGGAGAGGGAAGTGTACATGATGACTGAGCTGGGAAAAATACAAGGGACGTACAGGGAGATGTTTGAGGCATGGAATAGAGAGGAGAGGACGGTAGCTGTACTGGGGAGTAGGAAGTGGTTTGAAAAGGCGGGAAGGGATATCGTTAGGATAGACAGACTAGGGAAGATATTTTTGAGCCACCTTTGGTAAAGTAGGAAGGAACGATTGGCCATCGGTGATCGGTCCTGTGGGAACAAAGCTCCGTCCTCTCGAGGACGCGTGGTCAATGGTCTAACCGCTAAGGCATGCAAAACATTCGAGTACGCCCCCCCCCCCCCCCCCCCCCCTTTTCCCCCGTGACCCAAGGGCCCTTGG